GAAAAATACCTGATGCTCTTCTGGACAGTCACCCTGTGGCAAGACCTCTGTGAAGGCTACCTCTACCTCCACTACCCCACACTCAGGTTGGAAACCTTCCCCTTCATCCAAGAGTGGAACTGGAAGGAGTGGAGAATGATTAATATGCCCACCATATTCATACAAAAAGAATTAAAATATGTTAGAGATAGAGGGGAAAAAAGAATATAGAAGAAAAAATAAAGCCCAGGTTCAAAGGTTTTGGTCCTGAAAGACCTAAAAGTAAGGCTTCTGTGATCACTGACAGAGCTCAGGGACAAGGTGGCTAGTGGAATAGATTAGACCCCCTGCCACCACATTCAGTGGATTCCACTTAGGAAGGAAGATGTTATTCAGAATTAGAGGTACTATTACTGCCACAAAGTCAGTGACATTGAATATTTCTTCTAAATCATTATTTCCATTTCAACATATCATTTAATAACTGACAGATTATAAACTTTTCCTTGAATATAAATATATTAAATAATAAATGTAAATAATCATGGACCTAGAGTGAGTAAAACAATTGCAGACCAACTAGATCTGTCATCATTCTACTGAGAGTTAAATAAGGATAAATATACCACTTATATAACTACTACATGAATTCTATTTTGACCTAAAACTTAAGCTTATATATCAAACATTGCAATACATAGATTTTTAAAATAGAAGAATTATTTGTGTAGAAAATATATCATTTCCACTTTTCTTCATCTAACTGTGGGTCAGAATTCCAATAAATCAGCATCTTACAATCATATTAAACAGTATTTGATATAAGGGTATAGAGATTATAGATGCAAATTACATTAGGTTGTGAATTTATTGTTTTTCTGTTAGAACAGAAAGATTTTTATCCTCTTGTGTGTCAAGCACTGTCCAATCTTTGTGAAGTAGACATTCAGAAGTTATTCATTTATACAGGAGCCCATAAACTCATCAGTGTATGTAATATGTGTCTATAGTTGAAAAGAGGGAGTGAGCAAGGCATACTAGGGAAAGTTAGACAATGAAAAAGTGAGAAAGTTGTCCTTAAAGGTCATGCTGCAGGCTGAAATCAGAAAAGTTGGGGTCATTGTTTTAACCAGCCTCAGGCAAATTGCAAGGTTAGACTCAAAATCCATTAAACAGAGCAGGAAATAACCAGTAACTTAAGTCTTCCATCAACTAATACTTAGAATAGAACCTTGGCATTTAGAAGTTTAACATTTGTGCTTTTGGTTGGTCCTAAGCCACCTGCCAGGGAATAACTGCTGGAACTTGCAGTTTTATTGAGGTTCACAGCTGAGTTCATGATGTGTGGTAAAAGGGAGGGGGTCACAGCAAAGTAAACCCAGTGCCCCCGGCCCCAACCTGCACTCCTATTACAGATAGTGGTTTTGCTCTTCTCCCATTCACTCCTGTGAAGTGATTTCTAAAAATCATGTTTTCATCTACTTCTCTCAACTTCAATGGCAGAACAACAAACCAGGTGATATCAATGAATTCAGAAATTTGCAGTACTGGTTCGTGGAAAGAGTTCTTTGAAGGTGAAGGAAATAGCCAAATTGTTTAAAAGCATCCCTCACAGTTTATTTTTTTTAAAAGATTTATTTTTATTTATTTATACAAGCACTGGGTACAGTCAGAAGCGTGGGAGGGTGAGAGAATGAGCCAGAGCCAGAGGAGGGAGCGCAGGCAGACTGAAGTACACTGCTGAGGGGAGCAGCGGGCGGCAGGAGAGGTCTGCGCACCATGTGGGACCCTCCGGTGGTTGGGGAGCAGCCGGGGATTGTGGGGATTGAACCCGGCGCTGCAGAGGCTGCGGGCAGCTTCGCAAGCCAGCGCTCAACTACCGCTGCGCCACCGGGGAGGCCCATCCCTCACAGTTTAAATAAAAATGTAGTCAAGGAGCCCAATTTGGGTATACTCTGCAACACTTCTCTTTCCCTAGACTCTCTCAACCAATTCACCAGAAGTCCTGATAAAACCATTATCTTAACATCTTCTGCTATTGCAATTGCCATAATCTGCTCACACTCATCTCTCTGCCTCCAGCTTGTGCAGTTCAATTCCATTCTCCACAGTGCAATCAGAACCACCTTCCAGCAGTAGTACATCCTGCTTGAAATCCTTCAGTGATTTCACAGTGCCTAAGGAAAACTCCAAGGACCTCAGGACCATCATGACCTGGCCTTTGCCAGCCTTGTGTCTCTCTCACCCCCACAACCCATGATAATGCCTACTAATTGTTCACCAAATTCCCCACGCTCTCTCTCCAGCCTCTGTCCCTTTGCCCTTTGCTCATTTCTTCTCCTTTAGTGGTAATAGCGCCCCTCTCTGATGATATTCTCTTTGTTATTTAGGACATTTCATTTCGAGGAACATCTTCCTACCAATCTCATGGAGTCTTTTCTTCCCAGAAGCTCCAGGAGGTACCTCAGGCCTCCTCTATCCAGACACTTTCCATGCTGACCTGTTCTCATCTGATTCTTGTCTGTATCACACACTAGGCTATTAGCTTTTTATCAGGATAGGTATCTGATTTGCCTTTGTATTCCCTCTGTTCAGCATAGGGCCTGACACATGCACACATATAAAGGTCACTTGAATGAATAAATGAATAAATTAGATTTTAAAGAGATAGAAATAGAAATCTTTTTAACATTTAGTATTTTGTTACTGTTTATTTTTATGATATTGTATGGTAACTAAATAAATTTGCACAGATTAAGGCCAAGAGGTAGACTTTTTGAAGATTAAGACCAGAGGAAATGTCTGAATTAAATAGACCACGTATACTATTTCTACTACTACTGTTAACATTAACTGAGGGTTAACTCTGTCATCAATGTCATTCTATTTTTTTATGTATTGACCCACTTCATGCTCAAAATCATCCCCATTTTACAGATAAATTTCAGAACAAAAAAATTAAATAACTTCTCCATAAGTGTCTAAGCTGTGATTCAAAGCTTGCAGAGGCAGTACCACCTGCTATGTGACCAGAATTGTGCAGAAAAGTGAGGTTTGGTATTTGATTCACTCAACTATGCACTCGCCTCAATTTTTTATTTTTCCACCTTACCTTAAAGAAACTCACAGCTTCAAATATATTGTTATACTGGCCAAAAGATATTTGAGAGTTTTTCCCAGGTGGACTTAAAGCATACCTTCCAGCCAACTGCTAGCCAGTTGCTAACAGGAAGTAGTACTTTGGGATAGGTGGCAGGTTAAGTGTCAATTACATGCACTGTGTTTGCTTTGGAATTAATTCTCCTGCCTCCTAAGGAAGTGGTTGTTAAAAGTTTTGTGAGGTTGTATTTTTTTTAAATGACTATTCAAAGAAACATCAACCCCTGAGTGAAAATGAACATTACAAAGACTCCATGAAAAGCCTTTGCCACCATGGCAGATCTGACATCAAAGGAGTAACAAAGATTAAAAAAAATTAGAGAAAGGGTGAGAGAGTCTGGAGTCTGATTTTCTATGATAAAAGAAAAGTCTTTAAAGAAAAACCATATTTCTGGACAAGCAAAGTAAGGAAAATTTGAAAATCTAAATAACTTTGCAAATTAAGTCTCAGAAATTGTACTACAACAGAATTCAGAGCAGAGAGAAAAGACAGAGCATTTAAATGTTGAGGTTCTTCTCTTTTTTTGATTGGTTTATATGTTATTTCATTTCATCTTCACGGTTATTGTTATTGTTGTTGTTGTTGTTGTTGTTGTTGGTGGTGGTGGTGGTGGTGGTGGTGGTGTGTGCATACCCATGCGGGAATGTACATGTACTTGGATGGCAGAGAAGTGGAGGCTGGTATAAGGGAACAAAAGCAAGGAAATATGGGGATTGAAGTTCACTGGGCTTAACCACAAGTTCCCAGCTTAAAAAAGTACAAAGTAAGAATTTCTCTGCATTTCTCTACCTCTTAGGTAGAAACAGAAATAGTAGTGCAAAAGGAGAAAAAGCAGGAATAAACATAGGTTTTGCACCATCCAAAAGGGAACCTGATGGGGTGGGGGATAAGCAAGATATAGTCACCTTTAGACTATGCCACTAGCTCCAAAAGTTCTGATGTTTTTTGATCTGTAAACAGTTTTCTGCAGAACGTGTAAATATTTCCAGGGTTTGTGACCTGTGATATTTTATTTTCTTCACCTCCAGTCCTTTGGATGTTCTTTTAATAACAATGGATTAGAGCTTATCTGCATGCTGGGCCAGTTTTATAAAACTAAATAATTGCTGAGCTGGGGAAGCAGTTTCATTTGCATTTAAATTTTTTTAAAAGAGAAATTCTGCCACCCTCTGGACAGAAACCAAAGATCTATTTCTTAAAGACCACCACAGAATACCATTTTAAGCAGTTGCCCCTGAAAATAAACATTTGTTTAAAAAAAATCTACCCTTTAATAAAAGGAGGGTGTGGGGAGCAAATCAGTTGCTTTAAATAGCATAGACAATAACTGGGAAACAATGTTTTAAAAATACTAAATAGCTTCTAAGGAATTTTTAGCTAAAGAAAACATTCTCAGAGAAAAAGCCTCTAGTGTTTAATTTGTATTCTTTCCAAAATCACTTTACAGTACACATTTCTACTCTTCAGTCTGGAATGGCCAAGTAAAGATTTTTCACACAATCACAGCTATGGCTGTTTTCATACAGTTACCTATATAGCTAAAAAAGAAATACACATTTATCTTAAATGTGAATATATATTTGTTGGGTTTTGACTAGGGCTAATCAAACACAAGGGCAGAGTGAGGTATCAGCCATGGTTGAGAGAGACCTACCATAAGAGCATAAATGTGTGGTTTGTTTCTGAAGCACTCCAGTTCTCTTCCAAGGGGCATGGAGTACTTAATGTCATGTAAATGAAATTCTCAAAAAGGCAGGGATGTGATAATTACCAGTAATAATGCTGGGCAAATCAAAACACATGACAAGCCATTTTTATAAATAACCAGAGAGAGGAAGTAGGAAGACTCCAAGTACCATACCTGGTTTTAACAACAGGGTTTAGATGCTTCTGGTCTTGGAGGACCTTTGCCAGTTGTTTTTGCAGAAACAAAACCTTTCCGTGGGCTCCTTTCATAAAGGGGTGGTCAAGGAGATGTGTGACGGAAGGGCGCTTTTCAAAATCCTTAATAAGACATCTGTTTGCAAAAAAATCAACAAACAAAACACAGTCTTAGACACCTGGTTCCCCTGTGACTATGGGAGAGAGGAGGCAACAAAGCTCATTTATAAAACCTGCTCGCTGAACTTACATAACTCTCTTCTTAATCTCATGTACCAGAACATAGGGGGAAAAAAATTCCCTGCTAGTTAATTCTCTACTATTTAAACTAATTAAAAAAGCAGAAATCTATTTTACTTTGATTTAAGAACACAATGCATTGCCATCATTTTAATGTGAAGTATTCAAAGCATTTGAAACCGATCAGGTAAAAATTTCTGTCAAAAATTTTTATTACAGAAAAATATTCTTAGAGAAGTCAAGTTGATCTTACTTTATACATACTTTATTTTAGAAGCATATGAAATTAAAAATTATCATTTACATTAAATCCTAATAAATGAATTATTGACTATTTGGTGGTAGGGAAAATGCATTTAGGAATTTCCTGGGAAAGAAACTAATTACCAAAACCTTCACAGAAAAAGCTCAACACTTTGATTTCTAATGTCTTCTGAAGAAGCAGAAAAACCTCTGAACAGGAAGTGACTACAATATAAGTCACATGAATTGAAATGAAATTATGCAAACAGGGAACAGAAAGTCCATTCAAAATGGTAACAACTGAGTTGCATTTAAACTCCTCTGCAGTTAATTGGTTATAACCCCTAACATATAACCACTTTCTGTTTCAGATTCCCATACTGTTTCAGTCCCTCTTCAAGAAAACAATGATGTAATACATTTTGCTCCATGCTCTGTGTTATTAAAGATGATTCTGACATAAGGAAATTTCTAGTGAAATTGAATCTGATGAATACCCCTCTAATTATCATCACATTTCCATTCTGAGTAGCTGCCCTTGAGAGGAGAAAGAAATTTCCAAAATCTACGCTTTTAAGTTACCCGTCTTTAGCTCACACTGGAGGCTTAGGATAAATATTAGATGCCATTCTGCCCATTCCATGAAATAAATGCCTCCAGTTTTCCTAATAAAGACATTCCAGCAACATTTCAAAAACATCATTATTTTAAATAATGAAATGTACTAACACGTGGAAAAAAGTTCTGCCTCACCTTGAACATCTTTCTAAAACAAGCAGTTTCTAATACAATCAACTGTTGTGTTTACAAAAATGTTTTAACCTTTTCAGTTTTCCCTTCAAACCACTTTTACACCCCTCACCTTCTAGTCCCGAAAAGATGCTTGATAAATTTCCCAGTCAGTCCATGTTGGAATTGATTCAGGGGATTTTTCTATCTGTTGGTACTGGAGCTTTCAGCTACAGAAACCACAGGAACTTAGATTATCTCCATTCTGCTGCCTGCACAACTGTAAATGCCATCTCTGCCTTCCATGGGAAGAGATCAATCATTTGAATGTTACAGATTGAAGGGCCTTTTGTATGATCTATTATTTTTCCTAACAAAAATTTTAGGTGCACATGTTTAAAAAATACTATCTTCATGTCTTTACATCAGCAATGTTCCCTGGATTTCATGTATATTCTTCTCTCTGTGTGTACATATATACTCATATACAACTACTAAAGGAAAATAATGCTAATGCTTCCTTGAGCACCCTGCAAAAGGAAATTCTTGTTAGTAACACAGATCAGTCATATAGATGGATGGCCCATTCCTCCTAGCTGGACAGAGGTATAGAAAAACTGCTGAAATAAAAACAGGCCTGTTCTCTGAGAGTCCCCACTGAGGATGGACATGGTGGCTTCACAACCCCTGTCCCCAGAGCCTCCATGGGCATGGTAGGATGGGAGTGAGGGAACTACTGGGGCCTCAAGGCCAAGCTGCCCAGGTCATAGTACATCTCTCATCACCAAACAGACATACCAGTACCCAAGTACATAGTACATCCCCCAAAACAGGGAGAGATTTCTTTATGGATCTCTCCATCCTGCTTTCATTTCTTTTGTTTGTTTGTTTTTTTCTGGGGTTTTGTTTGTTTTTGCTGTCTTCCTGTACTAGCTGTTGGAGTTTCATTTGACTACCCAGGTGTTCACTGAAAAGGGAAGAAAGAGCACCTATACCCACCTACTGACCAGTGGCAAAACTTCAAATTAGCAAACTCAGAACTGATGATAGGAGAGAGAATGAAGAGAAAATTCATAGCATCTTCCACCTTAGGATAGGTGCCTTGGGACAGTGTTCCAGATGATGCCTTAAAACAACTTCCTGCTGGTATTCAGTAATTAAACCCTCCTAAAGAGGGTTTGGGAGAGACCAGAAAAGCCATACTCAAGTCTTATGAAAATAGATCTCTACTGGAGACTGAGGATCAAGTAAAGGTGCAATACCTTGTTTCATAGCTTTAACATCCAGTGGGGGAGAGCAAGGTTGCCAACAAAGTCATAAGATCATTTGATATTTTAGAGAGGATCTATCTCGAGGTCACAGAGGGAGTAAGGTAAGGGGGACTAACTATTGAAGTGAAATAATCAGGCAAAGAAGAAACTAACAAGTGAATCTGTTGTCTTTTGAAGATGCAAAAAAATGAATATGGTAGGCATTTTACTATCTGGAAGCAAAGAGCGAGAGGATTTGTTCCGTCTCTCAGTAAGACCTGAGTGGGTTGAATGTCATACCATTGGATCAGCAAAACTGAAACTGAGTGTATAAGGGAAGAATATTAAACAGAGTTGTGACTTATCCAACTGCACTGAAGGATTTTTAGGCTAAGGGCATGAAGACCTTGAGGGTATAACCTTATTTTAAAACAATCTTGCATATATTTTTCTCATGGGGAGAGTCAGGCTAAATTAAATTATTATTTACTGATAAACAGAGGAAAGCTCTACTTCAGGGGCAGATAAGGTTAAAAGTTATGCATTGTTAGATACAAGGTCATTGGATTCATATCATTTCACTTGTTTAGCAAACACTTATTACAGAGTGTCAGAATTAGTCACAATAAATTAATTTCTAAAAATTATGACTTTTTCTCAAGGATCTACAATTTAATTGCAAAAGGAGGCAGACAAGAGAAACATAACAGCTAAAACCGGCGTTTGCTTATATATTTAGGATAAGAAATAACCACACAAAATCATAGGGTTTTGGTACTAAGGCGAGGAGATTTTCTATTCCAACTCCCTCTTTTACAAGAGAAAGCTTAAGTCAAGTCCTGATGGTGAGGCCAGTTCTCGGACTTCCGTGAGAGAACCCTCCCTATTCTAAAATGTGTAGTTAAAATGGCAAAGATGCAACCAATGGAACAATATTAGGGTATATCTGGTGGGGTTGACTCTGGTTAGAGAAAACTTAGTGGAACTGGTGAGTCTTGAGTTGGGTCGGGGAGGTTTTTTTTTCAAGTTTTGGAATAAAATTGAACTCAATTGTTGGAGAAGAAGTAAAAGGCTTTTCAAGGCTGGGAAACTGAATGAGCAATGCAAGAAGCCAGACAAGGCAGGTAGTGTAGCCTGGAACTCAAGAGGCCACCAGAAAGAACACTCATCTTCACCTCCTAATTTATCTCCTTTGCATATCTAACAATTACTAAGTTAGTTCCTTAATCACTTTAACTAAAGTAAATTCTTTATTGCTTGAGACTTTGCAATTTGGTGCTAAAAACTGAGACTGTCTTTCAACTTCTTCAAGGCAGGGATTTAATGAATTAAGACAGAACTGATTGCTGGAATCCTTAAGAATTTCTAAAAAGCCTCCGTGCCCTTTCTAAAACTGAGGGAGAATTTTCTAACCTGATTTGGAGAACTCACATGGAAAACTAAGTTAGTTTTAATGTGCTTACTCATTTCAGTATTGCTTTTTAAACCAGGAATTGCAAATTTCAGTGCAGTATATTTTTCCCCTAGCCAGAGAAAGAGCAATTTTTACAAGAGAATGCATAAAATGTTGACTTCTTTACGGGAAGTAGGAACCAGTTCAGCATGAGCTGTATTGGATGACATGTAAGATGTTCCATTAAAAAAAGAAGCTACTACTCAGGTTTGGGAAACATTGGTGATTCTCTAAACCACGTTTGGAGTTTTGTAATGCATGTGAGCGTATTAAATGTTCTTAGAAATAGAAGGGTAGAGAAAATAACTTAATTTAAGTCCATGTTTCCAAATTTACTTGGCTGCAGATCCTTTTTTGTATCAACATAAGTAGGGCCTTTACAAAAGACATCCTCAGCAGCTCAGCTGTAAGGAATCAGTAGAGGGCTGATCTCATCTCAGCTAACTGAAGGGACATACAGAGCTCCTAATTGTCACCATCATGTTTGAGACAGCATCTCAAAAGGGGGAAATACATTTCCAGAGTTCAGTTCTTTTAGAGACTTTTAATCTGGGAAAAAGAAATTGAACAAATTCTAGATTTAGGGATATTACTTTTTATTTAAAATCCTAAGTTATTCATTTTTACAATCCTGAACTTTTTAAAATCACTTTTTTAAAAAAATCTGGATTGAGATGCAGTTCTGTCTGTCTTATGAGACAAAACACAGAAATTTTTTTAACTACCATAAGATATGTTACCTGTGTTTATCCTGGATTTATAAAGTCATGATGGCTGATTTGAATATAATAGAAAAGTCCACCAAAAGAAGAAGGAATTAAATTCCAGGCTTGAAGGAAATCAATCCATTTCCCAATTTGAAATTCTAGTACCTTCCATCATGCCTTCTTGGCTGAAGATTAATTCTCAGAATTCATTAGGTCACCACACTAAACACAGTGGTTGCAATTACTTGCTGGGATCTTCTAGTTTGGTTTCTCCCGGAAACGGGGGGAAAAAGGAGACATTTTTAAACAAGAAACAAGGCTGGGCTTCTGCGCGGGGCTCTGGAGCCATGCAGCCTGTGCTCTTCGCACTCCCAAATGATAATGCTGTCGAGACACAGCTGCCTTGCCACTGTAAACTGCCATTTCATACCCAAAATATCAGATGCCTGCAAGGGGGAGCTATTTATCAAAAGTCACAGCCGGATGTTTACCAATGAATAAAACACACTTGATA